TGGCACCTGCCGTGTGTTGAAACTTCCTGCATTGAGCTCTTTTGTGCCCAGGTTTATTAAAGTGCCAGCAAAGTCCCTCAAACCTCTCTGAAAGCTGACCTTTTCTGGCCTTGAATCCAGATGACTGTACCAACCTCGGTACCTCTGTGCTGGACTTAACGTAGGATTCAAATTCGAGAGCTCTGGCCATTGCACCCTGCATGGTAGAGGGGTGTGCTTGCTTCACTTGTATCTGGCATCTACGAACTGATCCCTCAGCAACAATTTAAGGAGATTGGGTGGTGCATTTGGGTAGGCCTTGTGTGCCATGCTCTCCAAGTCCTGTGCCAGTTCTTGCAGGCTCTCCCCTTTAGCACGGATTCTCGTCCTAAACCTAGCCCTGTAGACTTCTGACTGATTTTGGGTTCCGTACATGAGTTCCAGAGCCTCTACCAGTGCTCTATAGTTGTATCTGTCGGCTGCTGTCAACTGTCCAAGTATTTCCAGTGGTTGTCCCTTCAAGCTCGTTGCCAGATATACAGCTTTCTGCTCCTCTGTCCATCCATTCATCTCTGCCAGTAGCTCAAACTGTGCTCTATGTGCTTCTCACGGTGCTTTCCCATCATATTCCTGTGGCTTCCTTCGCACTGGATCACTCCTATTACTAACATTCATATCTAGGATGTGACTTCTAATGGGACTGAATATGTCTGCATTAGGGTTTAGCTGCGGGCTCTGTAAGGGGCTTGCCATTGTCTGGGGCTGATTAAGTCGATGGTCAATGTATCCTCCTTGTGTAAAAGACAATAGATCATCCTTTAACGTATCTAATTCGCTTTTAAATTTACTAATGTTTTCCATTTGTACTTCTTGTTTCCTTTTTTGTTCCAATTGCCACTGCTGTAGTCTCTCTTCTTGTTTCTTTTCTCGTTCTTCTTGTTTATTTTCTTTCTCCTCTAACAACTGCTGTAATCTCTCTTCTTGTTTCTTTTCTTTTCCTCCCTCCAACAACTGGAGTAATCTCTATTGTTTATTTTGCTGTTCGAGCTGCCATTGTTGCAGGTTTTCATGCAACTGCTGTTGTCTCTCTTCTTGTTTCTTTTCTTTTTCCTCCAACAACTGCTATAATCTCTCTTGTTTATTTTGTTGTTTGAGCTGCCACTGTTGCAGGTTTTCTTGCCACTGTTGTTGTCTCTCTCTTCTTCTTTCTTTTCTCGTTCATTTTCGCGTTCTTCTTGGTTCTTTTGCTGCTCTTGTATTGGTGCCATCAAGTCTGCTAAGCTGTAGTTTGATTTTCTGCCTCCCGTTTCCATTTTTTTTTTCGTTCCACTTCTGACACCAATTTGTTACGCTTCTAGTTGTTAGTTGATTTTCCGTAACTTTGTTCCAATGAAACCTTAGCGACACAAGTCCTTACTTAATAAAACAGGTTTATTCTTTCCGAATATAACTTTACCGATACACTTATTTTCAACAATCGCTCTATAACAAACGCTATAACAACGAACGTTAACTTCAACAATATTATCTGACTGCAGTTCAATTACTCACTACCTACACACATTGTCCCATCACATTGTCACCATCTTATATATATACAAGACTAACACTATATCTAGTAATCTCCTGACAATTCACGAAGGTTCGAGAGAACGAGTGGCGTGACACTAGTCACGTGACCTCGCTGACGCAACAATATATACAAGACTAACACATTCTTGAAGGAACAGGATATTGCTAGAAAACGTGGCATGACATTAGTCACGTGACCTCGCTGACGCAACAATATAATAACAATTACTGTTAACAAAAACAGCCTTAAAAAAAAGGTTAAGATATAACTAATTTACTATTGTTGCTGGAAATTAAAAATACTTGACCTCTCAAAGAATTTGGCAAGACCGAGAGAGCTACCTACTATGAGAACAGTATATTCACTCCCTGAGCAGGTGTGAAACTCATGCTGCTATTGATAATTCCATTAGTAACTAAGTGAGCGAGGTTTCCCCCATTGCTAGTTGTAAACATTTTATTTTCCACTTGTACTATACAGCTATCTTTACGATGGGAAATTGCATGTAACAGGCAACAAGGTTGAAAGGAAATAAGGTAACTTCTTTGAACAACTCATCATTGGAACTGTGCATTTGGTAAAATTGTGACAACTTCCTTTCAGCTTAAAGAGTTCACAACACTAGATAGAAGCTAATTAAGAAGTACATACTATATGTGATATGATTCAAGATAATAATAAGATAAGATTTAGAAAAGGAAGCAACAAAATGGTATATACAACAAAATAATTGTAGAAAACTAATGTATCTTAACAAATGATGTAATTTTATATTAAAATAAGAACATAAAACTATCAAGCTCATAACTGACAGCAAAAAGATTATTGTATGATCTAAAGCAGCTCGGGGTAAACACAACAACACAATGCTTTGTAATTAATAATGTGGTGTCATCACGTGATGCATTGCTTTAATGTATTGATTTTCTTTTAATTTTTGTTTTTGTTTTTTAGTTCTCAGAATAATTAAATACACTTTTCTTATGTTCTTACTTATAATACATTGTTTCATCAGTTGGGTACCCACACTGTATAATATAATAACAAGTTTTCTTTAAGTTGTAGGCAAACATAACATACAAGATAATAAGGGACAATTTGGTCCTTCAAGGCTGTCTTTAAATGCCCGCCCTTAAAATGAATAAAAAGTTAAATCCACTGCTCATTTTTAGGAAACAATCACTGATTCCTCTCTTGAACATACTTCTCTCAAATACTGACCTTCAGTATTGTTGTCAAAAACTCATTTCATGAATAAAAACCTTATAAAAAGAAATAACTGTCTTAAGTGAAATCTAGCTTGAATTTTCTAAATTTTAAGCTTGTGTTCTCTTGTCTTATTATCCTCAGAAATGAGAGGCCTTTATCCTAGTGATCCCTCAAATGAACTCGTAAACTTCACTGGAATTCAAGATCACCTCTTAACCCTTCTTTTCTTAAGGGAAAATCAGTTAAGAGATCTTACCTATCCTTTTAAATTATCTCTTCAGTCCCCAGAATTAACCTAAAAGCTTTGATTTGATTCTCATTGTTAATTGTTTGTATGGTGTGGTATATTGAGGTCAAACTGAATTAACCTTTGAGTAGTTAGATAGTTTCACTTAAAACCAGGAGAGGAGAGTTGGTCTAGATACAAATTAAAAAGTAATGCTACATCTCTCAATAACTGAATCATGATGTTGGATAGAATAAATGGAATAAGGAGATTGGATATAAAGTGGATTATGAGATGCAAAAATCTTTTTTCTATAACAGAGGAAAAACATACATACATATATACACAGTGTGTACTTGCTTTAATGTAACAATGGAGTGTCACATTTAGTGGATTCTCTATCTAAACTGCTGCTGCTTCAAGATTCAGAATGATTAAATCATTCACAAGAAACACTGCATTTACTCAGGTTGACCAGCACTACCCAAGTGACCTGTCATTCTCATTCCAACACAGGTGAGGTTGTAACCTCTAGGTATCATCTGAACTACTGTTGAAATCCTTATGAAAGGTGCATCATTGCAGCAGTATCATCCCTGGGCAGAACAGGTATTATCCACTTGAGAAAAAAAAGGAACAAAGGCAGCTAGAACAAACTAAATTTAGTGGTTTTCTCAACCATGTGTTATGTGAAACTTATAAATATACAGAATAAATTATGGATATATAATATTACCATAAGATAGAGAAGATGTATGGTATATTCATATACCAAAGCATGACACCTTATCAAATGCCTTTTGAATATCTAAGTATGCCAAGTCGACACCCTTTCCATCATCTACATAAGTAACATACATGAAAAAAGATAATGGATTAGGAAGGCAGGATTTTGGCATTCGTTTATTTTACGAAATAAATTTTTAAAGCTCTTTTGTGAAACTCTAAAAAAACCTTCCCTCTACTGAAGTACTCAACATTAACTTCTGATCAAAGCAAATGTGTAATATATACATTCCAGCCACAGTGAAAGGTTTAAAGTAAAACTAAAATAAAATAAAGCTGTTAATGAGTATAACTAATTCTAATTGAATATACTTTTTTGTGTTCCTAGTTATTAAAATTAGATTGCATTGTTTCATTAGTTAGGTGCTCTTGCTGTTAATGTTATTTTTTGTCATTTCCATTTTGTAACTTTAAAAATAGAGGTAACATTAGCATTTATTCAAAACTGTCCTTTGTCCATTTCCATACCATAAATTAAAGAGAAAGGCTTATGTATCTGACATTTGACCTTCTTTAAGATCCTGGGGAAAAATCTTGTTTTGTGCTTCATAATTTCAATCTATCAATATGTTTAATTGATTAATATCCACGTGATTCAGGTAAATTATAATAATTCACATAAAATAATAATATCTTGATAATATCTTATTTTGTAGAAAGAGAAGAGAATATTTAAAAGCTTAGCTTTTCCATGGTTTTCAATAAAAGCCCTGCCATCAACCAAATGAAGGGGTGGTTGAGAAGCTTGTGCTAGCTGGGAGTTTTGGTTTGATCAACTCATCATCATGCCTCTGATTTTTGGATCCAAAATGAACAAATTAATAAGAATGTTAAAAAGTCTGCATAAATGGTCTCTTTAACAAATTTTAAGCTTATTGGTTTCAAATTGTTAACCAGCTTTTGGCATTTAAACTGTGATTTATATACTATTATACTGTATGTATAAATAATGTTTTAAAGAATCTCTTGTCTCTCATCATCCAGCCCAACTTATGAGTTATGGTATTGTATGAAAGGCCTCTTGGACAGTGACTTTTGAGAGTTAAACGATAGATCTGAAATGCTGTTTTTACACACATTTGATTTTGAATGTATAACTGATAAATTAAGAGGAATGTAAAAAAAAAAACACACATCTACAGTCAATGCAATTTTTTTCATAAATTTTAGAAATTTATTTAATTGTGGTTTGAATTTTAACCATGATAGTTTCTTAATTGATGTGAAATTGACTTTGTGTATATAGTATGTGTCAGTTATTGTTACAGTTGCAGAATTTTATCAAAGAACATTGCCTAAAATGTTTGTAGTTATAAGTGAATTTAGATAAGGGAAATCCACATTGCTTGAAAGATTATCCCCTTTTGTACATAGTTTAGTGTTTTGGTTAAAATTGTGCATGAGACATTTTTATGTGAAAAGTTTTAGTTATGAACTTGGTACATATTTTTAATTTTTAGGTAATTTAAGTGAACTGAATTAGGGCCTACAGTTACTAAATGTGATGTAAAATGATATTTTTATTTTGCAGTTAATTATTCTATATTTGAGTTATTTGAATATGTTAATTAAACAAAAATTAAAAAGAACTGAGCATACCTGATATATATATATATATATATCTTTAACATATCTCGATGCACATATAGACAATGAATGTAAAATAAGGACAATGATAAAAAACACATTTAAAAAACATACAAAAGAAAAGTATGCTACTTGTGATTTAAGTAAGGACAATAATAAAAACATACATTTCAAACCCAAAATACAAATATATAGTACTTACGCTTAATTTAAGAAAAGTTTTGTTGAAAGTTTCCTTACAAAATTCATATTAAATCCGTGTGTTTGAATGTAACCAGGGTTTCAGTTATTGGCAAGAAGTTTCAAGATACGGTAGATGCTAAAGAAAAATGGTATGGGACCGAATACAAGCTGGAGAGAATTACATCAGAACAGTTAAAGGTAATGTATATGTTATTATCACTAATATATTTATCAATAACCTGACCTAAAGGTGCCAGCAGAATTATCTTTGTTACCAGAAATGTCACTAGAACATAGTAAATCATTCTTTGCCTCACACTTTTGCATTAAGAAGAAGTAGTCAGTAACCTTTCTTTAAATTATAAATAGTTAAGCTAGAATATGTTACTGAAGGTAATCAGTACAAGTTGACAAAGAAAAATAATGTAAAGAAAATATTCTCTTACCTCATCTGGTTTTGAAAATGGTTATTGGATTGACCAAAAAAAGACATGGTAAGTATACATTTAATTATGCTTGGAGATGGCTTGAATGGGTAATGAAGAAAAACTTTAATATAAGTTTAACATAACAGCAAATGTGCAATGTTTCGACAAGGTTTTGTTATTATCAGGTACAAGTAGTTTACACTGACACAGATATATATAGTCAGTCCTCATCCCATGTTGCCATTCCAACAGATAACAAATAGTCTATCTGGTTACATAGATACTTTCTCAGTAAATCAACTTCACTAACTGACAGCTTTCAAATACACTACACTACAATTGCTTCCATCATTCTTCTGAGTCTACAAAATGTAACTACTCTTGCAAGAGGTGCTTAAATACTGTACTGTCATGCTTGTCTAAGTTTGTTGTCCCAAAGTTGCATCCCTTCACAACATGCATCACAAGTTTAACACCATTCTTCCATGGATTGGCAGAATCCAACACTAAAGGATTCTGTTGGTGCAAAGTTGTTCTATTTGGAGAGATCTTGGTAATCATTCCTTGTGGTCTCATCTTTTCTCTGAGTATAATTTGATCCAACTGACAACTCAGTGTCTGAATTATTATATATATATATATATATATATATATGTCATGCTAGCATCCTTATTACCCAAGTAATTGAATTGGGTTATTTTTCATCACTTCTAGATCTTTTAGGGTGATCATGTTAATTTTCATCCCCAGTTTGTCTTAAAGTTTTCTGTCACTTATAATATTTTAAATGCAATTCTCTGCTCGCATTCATAATTTATAAAATAAAATTTGTTTTATTTTTGTCACTAACACACATTATTGCTTAGAGACTTCACTTGTAAGATTAATCATCAGCTTTCTCTTGCTTGAAAGTTGACCTTAATTTGATATTTGTATCTTTAGTTTTGCATGTGCATATCTTTCTTTGTGCTTATAAATGACATCAGACAAAACCATTAGTAGATGTTGATCTAGCAATCATGGTTCCCCTTAATTCTTTATCATACAAATAGATTCTTGTTAAAATTTCAGCTGTATTCATTCCAGTTGATTTTTTGCTACATGAAATCAACTATTTCAAATTCTAGAACTGATTATGCAGGTCTGTTATGGTTTTATTGTCTTGAAATATTTACATGTTCTACTGTAATTTCTGTATGCTGGATCCAAAAGTGATATTCATTTTTCTCCATCACATACAGATTTTTCAGAAAAAGTCATAATGCAATACATAAAAGACCACAACACATAGTTTTGAGACTAAAAGATATAGATTTAAAAAAAAAAATCAGGATGAATGAGGATGCATATTCGTTTGACATTAGTGTTCTTCCCTTTTCTTCACTTTGTTTGCATTTTCATTAATAAACATAATAATAAAAAATGTTCATTGTGGTAAACCAAATAATCATTTGATCTAAGTAAGAGTTTCTTTTTCCTTCCCGATTTGTAAAACTATCCTTACATGATAAAAAAAAATGAATATTATGTTTGAAATATGAATTATGGAAAACCATTATTAAAACCAAAACAACTTTTATGAAGTTTAAATTTGCAGGCCTGTGTTATTATTTACTTTGCTACTGTTTTTCACTTATATCCCTAAATTCTATTAGGATTGCATACAGTCTTTTAAACTCTGTAATTAATGATGACAGTCTGCATCCATTTAATCATCTTTAGAGATTTCAATTAGGGCAATGTTGGCACTTGTTATATTGTTTGTTGTCAAGCACAAAGCCATGTAGTGGGCTGTATATGTTATTCCCACCATGTGTATCGAAACCAACTTTAGCATTATAACTCTTCAGACTTACTGCTGAGCCACTGTAGAAACTACACAATGCATTTACCAGATGAATCATCATTAATGGCAGATTAACCCTAATTTTTGGTTTTCTTATAAAGTAAGTCAACATCTTGATACTTTTGCCATTTATGATGAGTGGCTATCAATAACATTGATTGATTACACATAACATATTGGACAACTTTCCACAATGTAACAGTCTGTGTTTACTACAATTTTAATACAGTAAAGTAAAACAATTCAGCCAGACAATTGGCAACCTTATTAATACTCCAAAAAGGTTTCTTTATTCATTTTAAAGAATCAGCTGCGTAATTGCTCTGGTTTTTGAGCATTCAGTTGTTTAATGTTGCTGAAGCTGGTTCTTTCAGGTGTGCACAAAAATGCTCACTGTTAATTTATTATTTTAGTTACATCAGGAAAAACACTCTGGCTTTACCTGATCTAAGAAGTGGTTTATAATCATGCAGCTATAGGAAAGGTTGTATTGTAAGTTTTGGAATTAATAGAGATTGGAGTAGTTTCTGTACAGGCTCCATATGATGTGATTTTGGAAATTTAATTACTCCAGAATCTGTTGCTCCTAGTGGCACAGTTGTGGTACTAGGCTCTGCATGTGGTTTAAATTCCAGTGCACATTCTTAAGTTTGTCAGTTATGTTTTTCTTTTCAAAAATATTTTATGTTTTATGTTTCAATATTGTTTAAAATTATATAGTTTTTTTAACTTAGAGTAACTATTGTTTCTTTATGTAATAAAAATGTAAATTTTTGATCAGAAGTACATATATCAACTGTTTTTATTATATATAAGAGGACCTGTCCCTTTTTTTTTACAGGAATGGGAGAATGCAGGCTACAACAAAAGTTTTCAGTTGCCTCCAAAAAATGAATACATACCATCAAATTTTGATCTTGTTCCAAGACAAACTGAAGTGAGAAAGCAAGCATTTATTACTATTAAGATAAACATTTAATATGGAGGATAGGCTATGTCAATGAAGATACTAATTCATGAAACCTTTCCATACTTACGTTAAGCATGGTTTCTTTAAATATTTGTATTGTCAGACTAATTCAATGATCATGAAAGTACAGTTATATCATAAAGACTGGTTGTTGTTTTTTGTTACTTCTAGTTTAATTTTTTTTGTTATTTGGGAGGAGAGGTTGCTATAATCAGTTAAAGGTTTGTTTGTTTATTTGAAGTTAAGCCCAAAGCTACACAATGGGCTATCTGTGCTCCACCCACCATGGGTATCGAAACCCGGATTCTAGCATTGTAAGTCCGCTGTGCTACTGGGGGGCATCAATTAAAGGAATATGAAATTGATCATTATGTATAGTCATTTTGTTTATCTTGTTTAGAAAAACATTGTTGTATAATTTATAATACAATATCTGAGTCTTGCTTTATATAGAAATGTTTATTTAATCTAACTGGATTTGCAGAAAAGTATGAAGGTATGTTAAAACTGCAAATATTTATGTTATTCAAATATCTTTTCATTTATTTCAAAAGTAAAGTTTTAATCTCACTCACTACAGAATAAGATAACATTTACAAGTAGAGAAAAAAACTTTTCAAAAAAAGGGAAGTAAATGTAGAGATGGCTAGTATCAATCCTTCAGAAATAATGTAAACAAGATAGTAGGGATGTCATTAGGAAAATACTTAACAATTATATATCTTTTTACAGTTCGGAAACCTTCCTCAAATGATTAAGGTAAGTTTGTTGGTTTTTTTTCTTCCAAAAATGTCTTATTATTATTGAGTGCTATTTATTAATATTTTCTGATTAAACAATTAGCTAAGTATATGGATAAGAACTAAGAGGCAACAAACAGATTAATCAAAATAATTCTGTATAACAAACTGAGGAGAAATACTTGATGGAATATGTCAATATGTCAGGTTTTGATAGGGGCATGATTCTTTACAGTAGGTGTATGTGACTTGTTGGTGATAAATTTCAACAATAAATGGATGGCACACAATCCACTTGTTTTAAAATAATATATATATATTCAAAACAAGTCAAATGTATGTACAAAAATTCACTATTGTTTACCAAAGTTGAATCTAGAGCTTTAAATAATTCTCCTTTTTATCAAAAGACCATACAGTCTGGTTCAATTACTTTAGAACCCAATTGACAAGATGATTTATTTCTTCTCTCCTCTGTTATCACAATACAATCAGTGATAAATTCACTTGCATTACCCATTTTTTGTCAAATCCACACAGGCTGGTTAAGTTACTTTAAAACAACCTTTGACAAGATGAATTATTCTTCACTATCTCTGTTGTTACAATACAAGCTGTGAAACTCACTTCAAAATCACAACTATAACTGTTGGCTAACACAGTTGTATCCAGAGCTTTAAATAATTGGCTCATTTTCATTAAAGTCCACACAGGCTGGTTCAGTTACTTTAGAACCCAATTGACAAGACAAATTATTCTAATTTATCTCTGTTGTTTACAATACAAACTATGATATTTTTATTTTAGAATTTGCCCATTATGGCTAATCTGACAATCATGCAGTCTAACTTCACTTTTACTTTCACTGATTTACTTACTTTCTCTACCTGTACATATTTATAATACATGACAGAAAAACTTAGAAACATCTAGCCCTCTGGTAACAACAATATGAAAAACTTAGAAGCATTGAGTAAGATGACATCAACAATATTACAAAAGCCTAGTACACCAATTAAACTACATACCAACATGCGACTCATGCAGAGTTATGTAACGAAAGTTGTCATAACTATCACTTCTAAAATAATTAACTTTTAACACTCTTCTTATAGAAACTAAATAATCATTAAATATTAAATCACTAAATAAAATAAATAATAACTCTTAAACTGAACAGTCTTGTATATTCAACACAGGGCCAGATCATGCCTCTCAGTTGCCCGAGTGCAGATTGAGGTTTGATGCTCCCTTCCCCACACGCACAGATACAGCCCACACCCATTTTAATTGGAGACTTTGATACCCCACACACTGACATTGACAGCTACCTGACCAATGCCAGAGGCTCCAGCCTTCATACTCTGCTCGAGAATAATAACATTCACATTGTTATGTATCTGCTTGTTTGTTAATTTCCCGTAGAAATTTTTTTTGAGAAATTTCTGTGATACAAGTCCTTTCTTAATTAAAACTAGTTTATTCTTT